TCGGCCTAGCCATCACTTGTTTCTCCCAGGTGCAGCCGCATGTCATCCCTGGCGGCAGCAATTTAGGACCGCTCAGGGGCAAGAGACAGGTTGCTGCTCGTGGTGAATTGAAATGGATGTGTATTGCCTTGTGTGCGTCGTTCAACCGTCTCTCGTTTGCTACAATTTGTGATGATCTGCTGTCGAACTGGTGTGATCAGCGATCCTCCCGCCCCAGAGGCCAGGATGCCGACCTCTGGTCAGCCATCGGCGATCTCGCCAATGCCCGCCCTGTTTCGCACGTCTCTGTACTTCTCTTGAACTCTAATCTGACGGCCACCCAGATGGCCGGTTGCCCACAGCTCACCGCGGGCAATGCTTTTGTAGACGAGTTAGCAGGCCTGGCAGCCAGCCAGGCAGGCACGAGTCCCAGAGTGAGAGAGGACACTTTTCTTCTTTCACTAGCGCAGAGAACGATTGGTGCGCCTGCGTTTGTTGCGAGCTTCGCTGGATTGTGTGGCGAAGGAGAAGTTGTTGGCGCACGAGGACAAAAAGATCGCGGGGGGGGTCCGCCCCCTCCTCCTCCTCCTCCTCCTCCTCCTCCTCCTCCTCCTCCTCCTCTTCCTCCTCTTCCTCCACCTCCTGCTCTTCCCCCTGCTCATTATTTTCCTCCTCCTCTTCCTCCTCCTCTGCCGCCTGCTGCTGCTTCCGTTTCCGCCGTCCTCTCCAGGCATGCTTTGAGTGATTGCAAGCGCCAGTGCACTAGATGTCGCGGCTCGGATACCTTGGCCACCATGAGGGAGTGGCACAGCACTGATTGCCCAACACTTGTGAAGGTGGACGGAGTTATCCCCCCCAGCGGAGGGCGCATCCATGCTGGGGGGGCTGGCTGCATCCCTTTCACTTCCTCAACTCGCACGTTTCGCTGAATTGCCGCTTTTGTGGGAGATGCGAGGCCGTGGCTGACAAGCAGTTTTGCCCGTTGGTCAAGCCATGTGCAATGTGCCCAGACCCTTAGTTACCACCATTGGTAAAGTGCACTTGTCTCGCATCCGAGACAGAGTTGCCCCGAAAACCCTCCGCAAGGCCGAGACAGCCCAGCGAGGCCGAGGTTAGCTCACCCATCGACTGGCATCGCAAGTGGTTCGTACCCCACAGTCATGCTCGGCCCCATGGAGAGCGCCGCGGCGCGGCGGCGGCGCCAGCGGATGGACGCCGCCCATGCCGCCGGTGCCGCGGACGCCGCCCGCGCCCCTGGCCCCGCTGGCGACGCCGGCGACGGTGGCCCTCCCGGCCTCGCGGTCGCCACGTGCGCTGAGCGCGCCGCCAACGCCGCGCGCGTTGTGGGCGCCGCCCGCGCCGCGGTCGCCGCGGCAGGCGCCGCGGCTGCCGTTGGTACCAGGCCCGCCGGCGCCGCGGCTGCCACGGGCGCCGCGGGCGCCGATGGGGCCGCGGGCGCCTCCCGCGCTGCTGGAGCCGCGGGCGTTTCCAGCGCCCTGGGTCTGGGTGCCGCGGGCGCTACCCGCGCCATGTGCGTTGCGGGCGCAGCTGGCGCGGCCGGCGCCGTGGGCGCGGCGGGCGCTGCTGGCGCTGGAGGCTGGCCCAGGCCCCCCAGGAGTCGCGGACCCCGCCTGTGCCAGGGCCGATGTTGCCGAGGCAGCGACCGCCGCTGGGCTCTGGCCGGCGGCCGCGACCCTCGCCCGCGCGGCTGCCGCGGCCGCCACGTGGGCCGCGGCCGCAGCAGGCTGCGCCGTCCCCGACGCCGTGACCAGCGACCCGCCCGACCACCCCCCGGACGCCCTCCCCCGCGGCCGTCCTGGCGGCTCACCTGCCACCCTACCTGACTTTGCACCCGACGCCGTGCCCGACGCCGCATCCGATGCCGCATTCGTCGTCTCCGACGCCCGTGCGCCGCCGCTCCCGACGCCGTTTCCGACAGCCTCCCCGACCACTGCCTTGGAATCAGCACGTGCGGTACGGTCTGGAGCCCGAGGCGTTCAGCCACTCTTCCAGAATCAGCGCGCGCGACGCCCGCGTTCCCCAGCGGACGCTGGAGGCAACTGGATCCCGATGCGACTAGCCACAATCCCAGATTCGGTGCGTGCGAAGCCAAGGATCTCCGACAGACGTGGGAGGCCAGGCTGGGCACCCGAGGCGATCAGCTAACATGCAGGAATCAGCGCGTGCGGAGCCAGCGAACTCGGGCAGACGTGGGAGGCGAAGCTGGATGCCGAGGCGATCATGCACAGTTTGGCGGACATCCTGTCCGATCCTGGCAATCGCTGGCAGGCGCGGAAGGCTCAGCTGGAATCAGCGCTCGCGAAGCCGATTACTTCAGGCAGAGCCAGGGGGCGAAGCTGGAGCCCGAGACGATCAGCTGCAATGCTGGAATCAGCCTGCGAGAGCGGGCTGGAGGACGGGATCCTGGATGAGGAGGGCGTTTCCCCTGACGCCGCGGTTGCACTCGCTTCGAAATTCTGGTCTGGGCGCACCCTCGGAAAGGTTGATTCGTTTTTGTTGTCCTCCCTGGCCATGTGGGCATGCACATGGTTCGACAATTTGATGTTTCGGCTTATAGCTGCCCTTGCGCTGATGGCATGCAACGACATGCACATGCATCGGCCCACCGATGTTTCGCTTTTCTGCCGCCCTGGTAATGCTGTCATGCACATGTCTCATCCCGCCGATGCTTTGGTTTCTTGCCGCCCTGGTAGTTCAGAGCGACCCTGGCGTAGGGGAAGGGAGTCTTTGGCAAGTCATTTGGAGCGCCGAATTCGGATGCCTCCGAGTCAGACAGCGCTTGCGGAGGAGAGCCACGGGTTCTCCAGCCGGCTTTGTCCAACGACCCTGGGCGAGACGAAGGTTGGGGTCTCGAGGGCGGCGCCTCTGAGGGAAAAGACGAGGCACTTGGCGACACGCAGTTCTGGATGAGCACTGCGCAGCAGCTGCGGCACTCCACGCTGCCTCTGGCACTGTCCCGCTTTCCGTGCCGTGTCGCCCTGGTTCGTCCCAGCCCCTTGGGGCTCTGACAGGGCCGGCGCATCCGCCTGAGTTCGACTTTTGCACGTGGGTTGGACAGAACGCACGCTGTTGGAGACGGCCAGTCTGTGGTCTCAGGGTGATAGTCACCGCCAGCCTTCCGTCCACCAGCGGGAGCGGTTGAGCGGCAACGCGGAAGCCCTTCAATGTTTTGCTTGTCTCGAGCCCATCCGGGGGGCGCCGCGTGGGGGACCAAACGGCCCCCTGCACTTCGGGCGCCTCTTGCGGACGGCAGGGGCTTGTGGCGACGATGGTGCGCAGACAGACGCCGCGGCCGCAGTCGCGTCCCGGGCGGCAGACGCCGCTGCTTTCAGCCGGCTGGTGGCCGAAGGCCGGCGCGCGCCCCTGCAGAGCGACGACGGTGTTCCCATCGACGGGGGCCCTTGCAGGGGAGACGGAAGACGGCGCGCCCGGCCCCCCTGGCCTCAGCCACGCCCGCGTTGCCCCGTGCACCGCCCGCCCCAGTGTGTTGGTTAGGGGGCCACATGCGAACCCTACCCCACCTTCCCTCTCAGAAATCGTGGGGGGTAGGGGTAGGGTTCGCATGTGGCACGCTCCCAGCGGCCCTTCTTGCAGCCCTGGGACGCAGACGCGGGTGCCGCGGGCCCCTCCCCAGGCGCCTCCGGTCCGGTCCGGCGGTGGCGGGCAAAGACGGCCGGGCAGGCGCTGCCCTTCGGGCGCGCCGGGGGCCTCTGGCAGGCCTCTGGCGGCGGGTGGTTGGCTGGTCCTGCACTCGCGGCGCGCCGGGAGCAGGCTGGGACTCGGGCAAGGCATTCCGCCCACGGACGTCTGAGGGCCCGCGTGGTCTCGCCTCGCACTCGCCCCCCCGCTCCTCTCCCTCCTTCTCGGGACCTGGTGTTGGTTCCCCGTTGCTTGCCCCGCGTACGTTCGCACCGCCGCTTGAGCTTGTGCTCCCCTGGTTTCCTGGTCTCGCCCTCGCTGTGAGGCGCGGCCACTTGGGAGTGGGCTTGCCTGGACCTGGTGCCAGCGGCGGTTGCTCGCTTCACGTCCGTCTCTCCTCGCCGCTGTCTCGGCTCTTGCCGCCCTGGTTGCCCCGCTGGTGGTCGCGCCCCCCTTGGCCTCGGGCTGGGGGCCCCCGATCTTTCAGGCAGCGCTCTCAGCGCGGAGCCTCGCAGCCGTGTCAGCGCCTGCGGTGGGCGGCGGGCGTGGGTCCTCTCCCCCTCCCCCCCCCGCCCCGCGGGCCGCCTCGCCGTGCCCGGCCCTGCCGCCTCTGCGGCGATCGTGCGGCCTTCGGTGGCGCCCCCGGCGTCCTGCTGGCCCCTGCAGCCCCCCCCGCCCCCCCTCCCTGCCTCCCTGCGCTGGCGCTGCGTGGCCTCGCCCGGCCCGGCCGCAGTTCGCGGAGACCATCGAGTGGATCTTCGATGGCGTTGCTCCCAACCTTCCCCTGGTTGTCTTACTCCGTCCCGCTCGTCCTCCTCCTCGTCCTCCTCCTCCTCCTCCTCCTCCTCCTCCTCCCCCTCCTCCTCCTCCTCGTCAGCTTCACCTCGCTGTGCACGCCCTGAGCTTCGTCGTGCGCTCCCGGCACCCGCGAAAGGACTGCATGTTCTGAGTGCGGCCTCCGCTCCCCGCGCACCTCCGTCCTCTTTCTGTTTTTTTTTCTCCCCTTGTGCCGCGCTCGCGTGCCGCGTGTCCCACGCCACGCCTTGACCGCGTCTTGGTCCCACGCCGCCGCCGACCAAGAATTCCAGCACGGAAGAGGACCCAGCGTCCAGATCGCGCTGCCATCATACAGGGGAGGTTGACATCGGAACCGTGCCACATGCAATTCGCTGGGATATCCGTTCCCCTCCTCTCCTCCGAAAAGATTGATTTCCAGATGATTGGAAGCTTCCATTTTGGTGGTCGAGCCTCTGTTTTCGAAGGCAAGCAGTTCAAGAATTGGCGAAGACATCCTCCCGAAAGGAGGTCGGACCTACATTTTGAAGGCTTTGATCATCTGGGCATCTTCGTTGCGGCGCCAGGATCGCCGACCTCCCGGACGGCTCGGTTATCGGCACGGCGTCGCTGAGGCGCCAAGCGCAAATCTACAGCGTGAACCCAACGCTTAAGGCAGGCATCGCCGTCGTCGTCTTCGTCGTCGTCGTCACGGAACATGTTTTGTTCATGGTCTTGCTTCATTTCGGGCTTCGGTAGGCCACCGAAGGCGTCTAGGGGCCTCCGCGGACTTCCGGGGACCTTGTTGTCGTCGTCGTCGTCGTCGTCGTCGTCGTCGTCGTGGTCGTACGTAGCCGGGTCAGGGGAGAACGGTAAGGCGTGGAAGAGCAGGAAAGATCTACCTTCTCCCTCCGCCTACCGAAGATGGGCCGAAAAGAGCAGAGAAGGGGCGGCGGGGGAGAGCAGGGATGGTAGCCTTTGGGCTGTTGCGGCGGTTGCCATTGCATGTTCAGGATCATAGGTCACAGAAAGCCAAAGTGCGGCACGGACGCGAACTTTTTGAGGTCCGCACGGCTTTCTGGGGGCGGCGCTGGACCCCCCTCCCCACACGCCTTCCTTGCCGCGCAGAGCGCCTGGCTGCGGCGCAGGAGGCGCCGCCCAGGGTGCGGGGCAAATGCCATGAACATGTTTACAGAAACGTCGGCCAATGTCCACCGCCTTTGGGATGCTGTTGAGGTCGGCGTTGTGGGGGAGCGCGCCCATGCCATTGCCAGGTCTGGGGCCTCGGAGAGGGCCCAAAGAACCCTCCCGTAGCCCGCCCTCGCGTCCCCGAGCGCCGCCGACGTTGAGCACCTGCTTCTGCACGCGCGGCTGTTCGAGAGGCGGCAGTTGGCGGCGCGCACGAGGGGCTGACGTAAGGATGGGGGGGGGGGCCGGGGGGCCTCTTGGGAGCCCTCCCGGCTTACGAAGCCCGAGGGGCTTTCTGAGAAGAGCCCCGCCTTTTGAGATGCACCCCGCCTTCTTAGAAGGCCACCTCCCTTTGCGCGTTGCCAATGTCTCCCCAGAGGTCGAATGATCGCCGGCCTCGTCGGAGCAGTGGCCCATGCTCGCGAAGGCAGCCAGTGGCCAGCAGCGGCAGGGTGCATGCCGCGCTGCGAAGCTCTCCCAATAGTCGCCCAGACAGGTCACAAGTGACACTAGAGCGCGAGCCCTGGAGAGCGAAAGCAAGTGGAGGCAAACTTAACACTTCGGAAGCGACTGAAAACAAGCGGGAGCTTTTGAGCGCAAGAGGAAGTATGTAACATGATTTGGAAGCAGGCAGAGGCAGACGGAAGTAAACGGAAGCAAGAGGAGGCAGGCGAAACGCAAGAGGAAGAAAGCGGAAGTACACAGGAACAAGTGCGAGCAAGTGGATGGAAGCGGAAGCAAACGGGCATTGGCCGAAACATCGGCTGAGTTCCACCCTCTCGAGGATGTTGCGGCCAGTGTTTTGGAATAGTGCACCGAGTTCAGCCATGTCTTGCATTACGTGTCGAAACAGCGCAAGTGGATCCCCAGCAAATGACGGGTTTGTTGTCGGGGTTAGCGCTCATTGACAGGGTCGTAGGGTTCGGGTTTAAGGGGTTACGTAGGGTGCGCTGTTCTGGTTCAGGGTTACGGCTTATAGCTAGGGCTATTGCTTAAGGATATACTATTCGCATTGTGATTGCGACTATGATTACTACTACTACTACTACTACTACTACTACTACTACTACTACTACTACTACTACTACTACTACTACTACTACTACTACTACTACTACTACTACTACTACTACTACTACTACTACTACTACTACTACTACTACTACTACTACTACTACTACTACTACTACTACTACTACTACTACTACTACTACTACTACTACTACTACTACTACTACTACTACTACTACTACTACTACTACTACTACTACTACTACTACTACAACTACTACTACTACTACTATTACGACTACGATTATTATTTCGACTATTACTACTACTACTCTACTACTACTACTACTACTACTACTACTACTGCTAACTACAACTAAACTACAACTACTACTACTACTACTATACTACTACTACTACTATGCTACTACTACTACTACTACCACTACTACTACTACTACTACTACTACTACTACTACTACTACTACTACTACTACGACTACGACGACTACTACGACTACGCTACGACCTACTACTACTACTACTACTACTACTACTACTACTACTACTACTACTACTACTACTACTACTACTACACTACTACTACTACTACTACTACTACTACTACTACTACTACTACTACTAGCTACTACTACTACTACTACTACTACTACTACTACTACTACTACTATTACTACTACTACTACTACTACTACTACTACTACTACTACTACTACCTACTTACTACTACTACTATACTACTACTACTACTACTACTACTACTACTACTACTACTACTACTACTACTACTACTACTACTACTACTACTACTACTACTACTACTACTACTAGTACTACTACTACTACTACTACTACTACTACTACTACTACTACTACTACTACTACTACTACTACTACTACTACTACTACTACTACTACTACTACTACTACTACTACTACTACTACTACTACTACTACTACTACTACTACTACTACTACTACTACTACTACTACTACTACTACTACTACTACTAACTACTACTACTACTACTACTACTACTACTACTACTACTACTACTACTACTACTACTACTGCTACTACTACTACTACTACTACTACTACTACTACTACTACTACTACTACTACTACTACGACTACTACTACTACTACTTCTACGGGGAGTTCAAAAACACTAGGTCGGCATGCCCGGGCTCAGCCTCGCGGACCTATTCTAAGACCATATTCTTAACATTCCCTGTTTTGTTTCATGCCGTGTCGTCATCGCCCGAGTGACACTCGAAAACCTAGTTTCTTTTATGGCCACGGTGATATTCCTCCAGATATTCCTCCGAATTGTCCTCAAGATCTTCACCCAGATCTTCCCCCAGATGTTCCCCTTGATCTCCCCGCAGATCTGCACTTAGATTTTCCCCTCAGATCTTCTTCTGATCTTCCTCAGATTTTTCCAGATCTCCCTCAGATCTTGCTCAGATCTTCTTCACAGAGCTCAAGCTAAACACTGTTTACTTGTTGTTTTCCTGTTGCTTTCCGTTTTCTGTTTGTTGTTCGTTCTAAACGCGTTCGGGAACACGTTTTGCGCGGACTCTATACAGTAGGCGCGGGCCTGCCCGTTTGGGGAATGAGGCCTATGTTGTGTTTGGTGTTTTGTTCTCGCGCGGGCACGAGCCGTGCGTTTTGTTTGCGTTTTGCTTGTGTGCGAGAAGGGTGGCCATGTCTTGTTTTTTGCGCCCGTTTTCTGTTCACGGCGCCTTCGCATTTCGCGCGGCGCGCCTCCTCCGTTTTCGTTTTCACTCAGCCTCGCGGATCTACTCTAAAATCATATGTTCGGATTTCTTTGTTTTGTTTCATGCTCTGCCGTCATCGCGCGAGTGATTTTCGAAGACGTAATATTGAAAGTGGTCACGGCTATATTTCCCCTGATTTTCCCCCGGATTATCTTCCAGATCTTCCACCAGATCTCCCCCCAGATTTCCCGAGATCTTCGCCCAGATCTTCCCCCAGATCTTCCCCTAGATCTTCTGCCAGATCTTGCCTTAGATCTTTCTCCAGATCTTCCCCCAGATCTCCCCCCTGATCTTCCTCAAAATCTTCCTCCAGATCTCACCCCAGATCTTCCCCCAGATTTTCCTCCAGATCTTCCCTCAGATCTTCTGCCAGACCTTCCCCCAGATCTTCCCCCAGATCTTCGCCCAGCTCTTCCCCCAGATCTCCCCCCGGATCTTCCTCCAGATCTTCCCCCAGATCTTCCCTCTGATCTTTCCCCAGATCTTCCCCCAGATCTTCCTCCCAGATCTCCCCCCCAGATCTTCTCCCAGATCTTTCCCCAGATCTTCCCCCAGCTCTTCCCCCAGATCTTGCCCCAGATCTCCCCCCGGATCTTCCCCCAGATCTTCCCCCAGATCTTCCTCCAGATCTTCCTCCAGATCTTCCCCCGGAGCTTCCTCCAGATCTTCCCCCAGATCCCCCCCCAGATTTTCTGCCAGATCTTCCCCCAGATCTTCACCCAGATCTTCCTCCCAAATCTTCCCCCAGGTCGTCGCCCAGATCTTCCCCCCAGATCTTCCCCCAGATGTTCCCCCGGATCTTCCTCCCAGATCATCCCCCCAGATCTTCCCCCAGATCTTCCCCCCAGGTCTTTCCCCAGATCTTCCTCCCAGATCTCCGCCCCAGATCTTCCCAGGCCCCTGTGCGACGGAGAGAAATGGCGCTCCGGGGCCACCCCCATGCACGTCCCCAGCTCAGCACGCGGGGGACAATGAGATCACCCCCTCGTCGCGCCCGCCGCCTGTTCAGCGACCGAACCTTGAGAATTCGCGCAGGGGCATCCAGCGCCGTTGTTTTGCAGGCCTGGCCCTTCAACCGCAGGTTATATTTCCACCTCTTGCTCCGCCCCGTGCCTGTCGGCCTCCAGAGATCCCGCCCCTGTGGTTAGACCTTCGGGTCGGCGGCGGCGCGTTGCTGACTGCTGTCCCTAGGCAGATGGGCGCCCGGTTGGAACGAGAGCGCGGCGGGGGCCGAGCGGGCCCTTGTGCGACGGAGAGGAACGGCGCTCTGGCCCGGTTGCGACGGAAAGAAATGGCGCTCTGGGGCCACCCCATGCACGCCCCCAGCTCAGCATGCGGAGAGCAACGGGATCACCTCTTCGTCGCGCCCGCCGTCCGTTCAGCAACCGAAACCTGAAAATTCGCGCAGGGGCATCTAGCGCCGTTTTTTTTGCAGGCCTGGTGCCTTCAACCGCAGGTTGCATTTTCACCTCTTCCGCCGCCCCGTGCCTGACAGCCTCCAGAGATCCCGCTCTTGCGGTTAGGCCTTCGGATTGGCGGCGGCGCGTTGCTGACCGCTGACCCCTGGGCAGATGGGCGCCTGGTTAGAACGAAAGCGCGGCGGGGGCCGAGCAGGCCCTTGCGCGGCGGAGGGAAACGGCGCTCTGGCCCGGGTGCAACGGAGAGAAATG